CCGAGAGGAGAATGGAGGAGAAGGGATTGCGGCGTGACCATCCCCCCTGGGGGGTGATTTCTCGCTTTCTGTCTCTATGTCTCTGTCTGTCTGGCCCTACTATGCAGTAATGAAAATCGTTTTAAGAGCTGGGATCAGAACACTTGGGTTTGAGATACGGATCTGACCTTGAACAAGTGCCTTGCTTATCTTGGGCTTCTTCAGTATGTAGATATTACCATCACACAGAACTTAATTATCTTCCTTTAATACAGGGCAGTGCTGGCATGCTACACAATGTGTGTCCCAATTTAGATCACATAGCTCATACATTACAAGTTTGTTGTGAAAGACAATATAGGGGTAAAAGTGACCATATCTATGCTATATAGGCTTCTCCTGAGGTCCATATAAGATCATTGATATAAAAGTCTTGGTGGCATGCCTGAGAATAGGGAGTGCTCTATTTGTAAGTCCAAGATACTGTTCTTAGTAATTCTGAATTATGTTCTGGACCTTTTAGAACAGGAGAATCCTGTGTTTTATATCTTTTGATGTGTTTTAAGACACTGATAGTCTTTGTATTGTCTAAGGATTTTTAGAGAGAGAGGAGAGCTATATATCTAAGCCATAAGAAATCAAGCTTATAGCAAGAACCACAGATGTAGTTACCATAAAAGCTGGAGCTAACTCAGTGAAGTGTTTTCAGAGTGGAGGAAGCACAGCCATGTGGGGAAGTATGTATTGCCCAGTGGTATTGCTCACAGAGGACAATAAAGCAAATGAAACAATAACATGGAATCAGAAATCTTTGAACCAAATTTTATTTCTGGTGGGACCTAATTTCTCAGTCTTGAGAAAGACTTGTTACCTCTTTGAGCTTCAGTTTTTCATGAGGACAATATGGGCATTAAAACTAATTTTGCAGAATTGTTATAAACATAAATGAAAAGATAGTTAATGTGGAGCATGGCACATATTAGTAACTTAAGAAGTTGTTGGTGGGGATGTAGTGAAAGGGGAACTTTTTTACACTGCTGGTGGGAATGTAAATTGGTCCAGCCACTGTGGAGAACAATTTGGAGATTCCTCAAAAATCTACAAATAGAACTACCATATGATCCAGCAATCCCACTTCTCAGTACCTACCCAAAGGACAGAAAAATTTTTCATTGGAAAAGTGCTTGCACATTGATGTTTATTGCAGCACTATTCACGATTGCTAAGACATGGAACCAACCCAAATGCCCCTGTACAAATGAATGGATTGAAAACCTGTGGCGCATATACTCTATGGAATACTATTCAGCCATAAAAACCAACAAAACCCTGGCTTTTGACAGAAAGTGAAAGAATATGGGAGATTTACTGCTGAGTGAAGCAAGCCAGGCTATGAAGGAGAAACATTGTATATCCCCACTTACTATATACTGAGTGTCTACACTCTATGACTGAAGCTGATTGACAAAAGGATATATAAACACAAGAGATGGGTGTGAATGCCAGATGTGTGTTGAGGAGCAGGGCCTAGGGAAGGACATTTGGAGGAGGGATATGGAGGCAGAGAATTGACAGGATGGGGAGGTGTGGTGTTACCGGTTGAAGATATTTTGATCAATTGGACTGGGGAGAAATGTTCACATATTGAAATGTTCACTTTGTAAGCTAAACAATGTGATTGAATGTGTATTTTAAAAATTTTAAATAAATTAATGAAAGAAAATTTCAGACCCAGAAGCTGGAAGAACCTAACCAAACATTTAATAAATGAATTTTACACAAGCTTTAAGAGAACAGCAAGAGAAGCAGCATACTTGATTCATGGTAAAGCTGCTTTAATATGATCCAAACCCCTAAAGATAGTACCAGTAAAAAACCGAGTATAACATCTCATTCTTGAATATAGATGCAAAAATTGTAGTCAATATGAGCAACCCTCATCCAGCAAAAAGAATACACTGTGAGGTAGTTGGGTCATTAAGCACACATTCTTCAATAAGAAAAATCTATTTAAATCCACACATGAACAAGTCACGGGGTGGGGAAACAGAATCCTTACAATCAATGAAGAGAACATGCAAAACTTCAAAATTTATACAGAGGGGAAACAAACCAAAATAGGAATCAAAAATTGACAATATGTCACTAAATATCATATTTGAAAGTAGGAAATATAGACAATGATGCTATTTCTCACTGTTCTCATTCCATAAATTACTGCATTTCTTAGCCAACACAGTTGAGTGAAAAAAAAAGGGTCCTGTAGAAATAAAAAATGAAATTATTGTCAAACTGTGTAAATATGAAATCCAATGAATCAATAAATACTATATTTTTATTCATTTACAAATATTAGCTATGTTTTATAATAAAGAAAAAAATATTTTTCTTTCCTGTCCAAAAGTAGCTTTCAATAATTTAGCAACTATAAACCCAATCCATTTTTGTATTTTCACTGTGTGTGGGAATAAATTTGTATCCATTCAAAAATAAATCAGTATCACTACTTTATCCTTTTTTTTTTTCATAATTCCAAGTCTATGAAACTAATTCAATAGTTTGATTTTTCACTGAACAGTGTCTTTCAAACACTCTCACGATTATACAGTTCTAGTCTATTATTTTGAACTGTGCTAGCAGACTCCTTTGCATGGTGTCTTATTTTGGGTTCTGTTCTGTAAGAATGTGCAGGACTTTCTCTATGTGACACATCTACTAACAGAATTGATGGGCATCTACAATGTCAATAAACAAGCAAGTGGCTTTCTATAATGACTGTGCAATTACTCGTTGCCTGTGTTGTAGAATTGCTATTTTCTCACCTATACTCAGTTTTATGATAGTACAATGCAACTTAGTTAAAATACAAAATAACCATAAAAACACTGCATGATGTGGGAGAAAGCAAATCAAACTCTTTATGATGATTACCAACTCAGGAATAAGAAGGAAAGTCCCAAGCTTTCACTTTTATAACCCTCTGTTACTTGCATAAAGAGTTATATATTTAATTTGTAATTAGATTGTTAAATATTGTCAAAAAAAAACACAATGGAAAAGCAAAAAAAAAAAAAAAAACCACAATTATTGGTATGTTGCCCTACTTGGAAGAGACTAACAGCTCATGGAGCTTTCATGAAGTCAGTCGTGGTATATGCAAGGTTCTAGAGAGTCCTTTGTCTTGGGTGTCTGTGTGACTGTCGCTCTTTGAGGGTTAGCACCATTTCCTGAGGTACCAGCTGCCCTAAATTCCTATAACTCTGGTTCATCAGGAACTAATCCTGGAACTATAACTTCTCTTGATAATTCTGAGGCTATTCAGGCTGCTGAAGGTGGTGACATCCCCAACCATTCTGTTGCTGTCCTTCAGATAATGAGTATGAGGCCTTGTGCTCCTCCTGCTGTCTCTTTTCCTGCACAGTGTGAACACAGTGCATTAGGGCACGCCTGGCATTCTGTCCATCTCAGAGCTGTCCACGGATGATGAAACAGGATGAACAGATGCCACCGATCTGAAGCTGTTAGATGCATTTTCCGCAACACGTTGATATTCCAGAGAAGGGCTTGGTTCTGAGCCATCCTGTTCACTGGGAACCCCATGAGTATCCAGAGAAGTACTGTTGGCTCTACCCAGGTGGCCCTGCTCAATGGTATAGTTGGGAGATTCCACGTGACTACCCTGGAGGCTTAAAAGTGGGCGAGTCTCGATGGGGAACACATGCAGTTTCCTGGCAGCAAACATTCTGTATCTCTCTATATATGGTAGTCTGGCTCTTCTATTTTGGAACCAATTCTAAAAAGAAACAGAACAAGAATCTCTTAATCAAATCTATTTTTCTAGTCATATTTCATAGTGCATTTTCACAATGTAGGAAATTTTTTGTGGTTAAGCTTAGTCTTAGTATTATCGCCGAGTTGCTTTCTTACCTTAAATAACACATGAAAATGGACTATGATCCTTTTTGGGGCTGCACAAGTGATTATGGAAGTCATGATGTGCACACAGTCTGAAAATATCAACTACATTCAAGTCTGTTGTGGCCCTCCACATATACTCAAACTAGACCTTTAAAAAAACCTCAGTCCAATTGCAATGTATTTGCTATCCTCTGTATTTAAAAGAAACAGGAACTCCCTCCCCATGATCTCTAAATACCTTCCCACCATCTCCTTATTTCATCATGCTGTTCCACTAGGATAGATTCAAGTAAACTAAAATGCTCCACTTACTTGATCCAAAACTTTGGAGTCATCCTTACCTGTCTTTTCTCACTTTCTACCCTATATCAGAAACAATTGATTCCAACTTAAAAATATTTCAAGTCTTTTCAGTGCTCTGCAGTTTTACAGACAGCCAACACCTTGGCTAAAACCACCACTGTTCCTATCCTGGAGAATCACAATAGCTTCCTTTTTTAAAGGAGATTTTTTGCTATAGAGTGTGTGCACTCACCCGAGAAACAGAGACAGACCGAAAGTGAGAAATCACCCCCCCCCCACCGGGTGCCATGCTGCAATCGCTTCACCTCCATTCTCCTCTTGGGAATTTGGGACTGCCCCCACATGTCCCCGCCATGAGTTTTAAGCCATGGTCTGGGACTCAAACCACAGTTGACTATATGGGAGTCCAGGGACATAACCATTATGCCATCTACTGGTTCCTGTAATAGCTTCTTAACTGATACCTACTTCTAAACTTGCCTCACAAACCTTTTTTACATAAGATACATAATATATGCTCATTGAGACTAATAAGTGACAAAATGTCAATACTTTGATCTATATGATGAATTGCTCTTCAACTTTTTCATAACTCTACATTTTCCATATTGTCAACAAGAAGGTATGATTATGCAAGTTTTGAGTACTTGACTTACATCAATTACAGAAACATTACAATAGACTTGGTTGGCCAATTCTGTTCTGGTTGTAAAATCAGGATAAGGATTGTGTTCAAATGATTGGTTAAGTATGTGCAATTCATTCTTAGTGAATTTATGTCGTGGCCTTCCTTTTCCTCTTTTACACTGTGCTCCTTTTCCTTCATACTGACTATCTTCTTCAACTGGAGATCCTGAAAACATATGAAAGAGAAAAGTATTGGGAGAAAAAAAAGTTGGTCAATTAGTCATAAAATAAAACATTTTTAAAATCCCACCTCATACCTATTCATGATTACTAATGGGTGAAAGATCCATCTTTAAAACTATAAAGAGAAAATGAAATTATTCATGACCTTTAAGGTAGGGAAGAATTTTTTTCTCTTCTTTTTATCTAAAGAATTATGTTATTTAACTTTATTTATTTGTTTATTTATTTATTTATTTATTTAAATTTAACCAGAGAAGGACAGAGTGTGAGAGAAAGAGAAAGAAAGGAAAAAAGAAAGCTACCAGGACTGGCACTTGAACCGTGGTCAGCCATGAGAGTCCAGTGTCCTTAACCACCATGCCACCTGATGGCCTCAAGGGAAGAATTTCTTTTAACAGTAATTCATAACTCTATAAAGGAAAAGACCAGTGAAAAATGCTAAGCAACATTAGTAACTGAGTAGACACAAATAGACCAGCTCACACCAATATAATAATCAACAATTTTACCATATGGGATAGGGCAGAAGAGAAAAATGTAAGGATTAAAGAAAACAGAAAGCTGGCATCTGTATTGTCCTCCACTGAACTGTATGTTTAACCAGCAGATGGCGTAGCAGTTATGTCGCTGGACTCCCACATGATCACCTGCAGTTCAAGTCGCAGACCCAGTGAAAACTCATGCCAGGTGCGCGTGTGTGTGTGCACACCCAAGATCCCAGGAGGAGAATGAAGGGATTGTGGCATGGCCATTTCCCTGGGGACTGATTTCTCACTTTCCTTCTCACCATCTGTCTTTTCTCTGGCAAGTACAAGTGCTCTAAGGCAAAAACCTCTAAAATTTGTTTTAAATGTTTATGATGATAGGTTTTATGTTATGGGTATTTCACAATTAAAAATGAATAATCCAGGGAAACGTTCTAGAAATGTGAGACCTGAATCTAAACATTTAATGAGAATAGAGGATACTGGAGTGAATTAACTCATATGATTAACTCAAAAATGTATTATTGCATGACAAACTTTAAAGATAAACTTTCTCAGACCTTCTGGAAAAAATGAAAAATACAACTTCCAAGAGTAAGCGAATTAGACTAGACCTTAAATTTATCAGAAACATACCAATTGAGACAACATTAGAGCAGCATTTTTCTTCTTCAGAAATTATTTATTTAAAAAAAAAAAGAAATTATTTATTTTCACTTATCTATTCATTCATTTTAATTTGATCAGAGAGAGACACATGGGGTGGGGAGGCAGGGAGGGAGAAAGAAAGCTGCCAGGTCTGGATCTTGAACCATGGTCGACCATGTGGGAGTCCAGTGTCTCAACCACACCATCTGCCGGCCCCGAGAGCCACATTTTCAAGAAATGTAAGAAAATATGTGAAGATATATTGAATTAAGTTGTCCTTAAAGTACCAAAATAGAAAATTCATTTTTCAATGTACTAAAATTTACATTGTATACATATGTCCTTTCCAAGAAATGTCCTAGTGGATGAGCTTCACCCATTTTAAAAAGTACTAGAAAGCTTCCCAAAGGGACAATGAGTACTTTGCATATTTAATTGTATAGCTAAGATTTAAACAATGGTTGGGCCATGGGTTTAAAAACAGAATGCAGGGTTGACCCCAGAATGCTGTGCATTGGAAGCGGATGCTTGTGTGATCAACTGCTTGTGTGATCAACTGCATTGATAATCCTAGCCCTGGTAGCTTGGTGGGGGCATGTGGGTTCCTATCCAAAATCCTGACAGGATGGAGAAATGGAGTAAAAGATTGCAGTATGACTACACCCCATTGAGAGGTTGGGGGGCTTTTCCTCTCTAGCAAGGGCACATACCCTCTGGCAATTAAAAAAAAAAATCACTGATTTGTTCTCCATTGATAGCAGCAAGTGAGATATAGGAAGACCAGGTGTGGGGAGGAGAATGGGAGATGGCAGAGGGTAAGAGATAGGGAATCGAGGATGGGGGGGAAAAAAGCTAAGCATACAGAAAACAAGAAATGGAAGATCATCTGCTGACAATAGCATGTTTGTTGATGTGCTTGATCGAGACAATATACAGTGTACTCTGGATGGAAAATCTCATTTTGTATGTTGTAATGATGTACAGTGAATGAATGCAAATAAATAAATTGAAATTAAAAAAAAGAAAGACCAGGTGAATGACCCCAAAGGCCAAGGGAAGAAAAGGGTTTTAAGGAGAGAGTGATCCCCTGTGCCAAAGGCTAATGAGTAAGATAAGCACAGAATTGACCTTTGAATTTAAGACGAAATCAAATTAAGATTATCAATTCTTAGCGGTGAAATAAGATAAAAAAAACATTTATGTATGATAGGCTAGGAGAAAGAAACAAAAATTCACAGAACTCTCTTGAAGGCTTCTCCTTAGAGAATCACACAGTTCCTGGGGAGTCCCCATTTCCCCACGGCTCACTCAGAGAAGTGATCAGCATCCATTACACATCTTTGGCAGAGTTGCTGGAGGCCACTGTGGATTTTCCTGGTCCTTTGAATAATGCTTCTAATGTGGAAAAGAATGTTTTGATTCTAAACCTTCAAAATATTTCCATGATAGTTTCTCTGCCCTAGAAGTGTCCTATAAATTTTTAAGGATAGTCTATTTCAGCCCTATGTCTATGTTTCTGTTTCTTGTGTTATGAACTCCTGAACTTACCAAGTAGCTCTTTTTCTTCCATCTCACTCTTATTTCTCCTTTTCTTCCTCCCCAAAGGTGTAAACATGTCACACATGTTAAGAGGAGGGATTAACTCCAAGGACAGAAGTCAAGAGCATTTGGGGACAATTCTTTGTGAAAGACTGTCGCTAAGTGCCAGTAGTGCCCACTAGTGATGGTGATAACGAAAAACTGGCCCCATACATTTCCAAATGTTAGCTTAATTTTACTGATTGAACATGTTTCTAACTGCTACAGCTTATGAAGGTCTTTGAGTCTCCATTTCTCAATATGAAGGATCTAAAAATTTCTATAGTGTGGCACTACTTAAAAGATTCAGTGAGGGAACCAGCAGTTAGCGTAATGGCTATGTCGCTGGACTCCCACGTAGTCGACCGGGGTTTGTGTCCCGGACCCAGTGGCTTAAAACTCACGCTGGGCGCATGTGCGTGCGTGCCCAAGATCCCGAGAGGAGAATGGAGGAGAAGGGATTGCGGCGTGACCAACCCCCCTGGGGGATGATTTCTCGCTTTCTGTCTCTATGTCTCTCTCTGTCTGTCTGGCAAGCGCACGCGCCCTACAGTGATACAGTGAAAATCTCTCCAAAAAAAAAAGATTCAGTGAACCCTTGCAGCCAGCAGGTGGCATGCTGGACTCCCAGGTGGTCGACTGTGGTTCAAGTCCTGGACTGTGGTTCGAGTCCTGGACCTGGTGACCTGTATTTTCACTTCCCCTGTCTCTCTCTCTCTCTCACTCTATCCCTCTCTGGTCAAATAAAGTTAAATAAAACAATTCTTTTAAAAAAATTAAGTGAATCCATTGTGAAGGAATTTTTAAAATTTGGGCTACTTAAGCCTTGTCTGTTCCTCTGCAATGTTCCTATACTGCCAATGCTTGAGCCAACTAAGGAATACAAGATTTCTCAAGACCTAAGGTCCCCAACCCAAATCTGACTAAGGACTGCTGGTTTTGTTTATCTTTATCCTCAGCACATTACACAGCTGTCCCTATTACTATTCTGTTGTGAGCCACTAGCACAATGACTTCTCATCCTAAATATAGGGGAGGTACACATTTCTGTTTAATATACAGGACTTGCAGGATTTTAAAATAACTGAATGGACTAAGAACACACTGGTAGAAAGGACAGTTAACCTTCATAGATCCTTTCAACAGAACATAGCCACTGAGGCCTTACTGAGAGTCCCAGGTGGGACCTATAATAGTGACTATTCCAAATGCCCACAAACAGATGAATGGATTGAAAAACTGTGGCACATATACTCTATGGAATACTATTCAGCCATTAAAAAAAAATTGGCTTTTGACAGAAAGTGGAAGAGTATGGAATATTTACTGCCAAGTGAAGCAAGCCAGGCTATAAGGAGAGACATTGTATTTCCCCATTTAATATATACTGAGTGTCTGCACTCTATGACTGAAACTGATTGACTAGAATATAGAAACACAGTAAATGGATATAAATATCAAATATAGTGTGTATGAAAGAGTCTCAAGAAGGACATTTAGGAGAAAAATAGAGAGGCAAAGCATTAATGGGACAAAGAAATGTGGTATTATGTTGAAGATACTTTTATAGTTTTATCAACTGGAATAGGGAGAAATGTTCACATGTTGAAATAATCAGTTTGTGAGCTAAATAATATGATTGAATGTAAAAGACAAAATAAAATTAAAAATCTAAATAAATAAATAAAATGGAAAAAAAATTCTAGGCATGTGTCTGTGTTAGAGGAATTCATGATACATCCCAAGGGTGACCACTAGGTGCCTTAGATTAGTCTTTCTGTAATTGCATTGCTTCATGAATTTAACAATCATCAGATACACAAGGAACCTGGTCAAAAGACTGGAACTGCTCCCTTGGCTGTTGCCCCTCTTGGGACCCTTGTTAATGTTAATTCTCACCCTCCTTTTGAACTGTCTCTTAAATCTCCTAACCAAGTCTATCTCTTCTTGCCTAGAAGCTGTAAAATTGCAAATGGCCATAACAGAGATATCAATTCCTTGGAACTTCCACTGAATTCTACTGCAAGTCACCTAGCACCAGTGACAGCCCTCTCAAGGACACACCTGGGTACTATCTCAACAACCTGACCCTGGCCCTGCTCTCCCACCTAAATCAGATAAGGTGAGAGTTCCATGATCCCAATAGGTAGGGCCAACCCCCCTTTCCATCAAGAAACAGTTACAGAAGACAGACAATCCACTTTCAACTCCCATAAAGATTTATGGGAATTATGCCTCAGGGAAAATAAGTCAGATGAAAGCAAGGAAATGGAAGAGGATAAGGGGCCTGAAGCAATAGAAAAACCAGTGAAGGCAGACAATTTTCTGCCCAATGTAGGCAGTTTAGCAGTGGGTGTCTAACTGTTTAAGCCACACTTGTTATAGCCAATGAGATGAATCAGTGGGCCCAGTCACATTTGACATAGCCAATGAGAAATCAGTGGGCCTAGCCACATTTGATAGAGCCAATGAGATGAAAACACTCAGTGCATTGAGAACATCAACCAACATTACCTACATTAGAAAATTATAAATCTCACAGAATGCAAATTCTGTAGTCTTTTGAGCTACTCTTTGTCTGCTCAGGCCTGCTCCTACCTCTCAAGAGTACTTTCACTTCTACTTAATGAAACTACCTTTTCCTTTCACTAAAAAAAGAAAGGGAAGAAGAAGAAAACGGTTAAGTGAATAACTCATGTAAAATTTTTATTTTGAAAAGGCACATGCGCTTGCCAGAAAGACAGAAACAGAGACAGAAAGCAAGAAAATCACCCCCCAGGGAGGATGGTTGCAATCCCTTCTCCTCTATTCTCCTCTTGGGATCTTAGGCATGCATGCACATGCACCCAGTGTGAGTTTAAGACACTGGGTCCGAGACTCAAACCATGGTCAACAACATGGGAGTCCAGTAGCATAGCCATTATGCCAACTGCTGGTCCCCATGTAAAATATTTTTAATAAATCCAAGTTCAGGGACCAGCAGATGGTGTAATGGTTATATCACTGGACTTTCATGTAGTTGACTGTGGTTCAAGTTCTGGACCTGGTGACTTAAAACTCATGCCAGACGCATGTACATACCTAAGATCCCAAGAGGAAAATAGAGAAGGGATTGTGGTGTGGCCATTGCCCTCCCCACCCCCCAGGAGTGATTTCTTGCTTTCTATCTCTCTGATGAGCACACGTGCCCAAAAGCAAAAATATCTCTTAAAAAAAAAAAAAATCCAAGTTCACACTGACAACATGTTAACTGTTGGCTTTTAGCCCTCTTCTTCCAGAAGCTCATAACTATAAGAGAACCTCAAATATTCTGTGTTCTAGACCACCCTTAACCCAGCACCCAAGAGCAATAGTTATCTGGTGCTATAAAAGAGAGGGAGTCTTACCATAATCAAACATTGTAAGGCTGTTTCCTGGCTTCCCTAGGTCTCTATTCATATCAGTTTAGGAATGTGGAAACAAACTCAGGCATACCTAACCTGGTCATAAATAACCCCAGGTGGAACCAGCAGGTTGGCATAATGGCTATGTCGCTGGACTCCCATGTAGTCCACCGCAGTTTGAGTTCTGGACCCACACCAGGTGCATGTGTGTGTGTGCCCAAGGTTCTGAGAGGAGAATGGAGAGGGGATTGCAGTGTGGCCATCCCACCTAGGGTGCGATTTCTCATTTTCTGTCTCTCTCTTTCTGGTGAGCACATGCACCCTATCGCAAAAACCTCTTAAATACATAAGTAAATAAATAAACCCCCAGGAAATCAACAAAACCTAGGGATTTCTTAAGGAGAAAATTGTAATAATCTTGTTGAAATTTCCACATCCAAATTTCCTCATTAATTAAAAGACATCCCTAAGTTTGCAAAGAGAGACACTAATCTATCAGTACGCAGTGAGAAGAATGGCCAGTGAGAACAGCTCACATCCTGTATTAATTACTCAAATGCTTTGCCTTGCTGGGTTGAAGACTGAAATAGGTATTGTGAGCAGGGGGCAACCCAGTGAACAAGGCATGTTCTGAAAACACAGATAATGGTCCTTTCTTTCCCATGTTCTCCATAAATACTTCCTCAGTGAAGTTTAGGGGGAGAGCACTATGGATTGATGCCTGTACAAACCAGAGACTTACTAACCCTCAGTAGATGTTAATCTCATCTGTGCTGAACCCAATTCTACAATCAACAGATGTCAGAAAGCAATTGTGAAAAAATGACCGATTTTTGTGAAATCCATCTCTCTGGGACAAGTTTTTGCCATCTTCTTGTGACAATGAGCTCATTTTTCCCCTTGGGGGCAGGGTACTCTCCCATAAGCCATTTGCTCTGACTGCCACAGCTCCTGTACAGGTGGTGCAGAGGTTATTATTTCCAAAGTTTGAAAGACAGTGCCCTGCTCAAGGACATGAGCAAAAAGAAGGGGATGAAGGTCAAGTCAAACCTTCAGACCAGAGACACATTGCTCTGCCTGGCACCTTCAAGGGTCTCAGAAGGGGGACCAGCAATTAGCGTAATGGCTATGTCGCTGGACTCCCATGTAGTCAACCGCGGTTCGCGACCTGGACCCAGTAGCTTAAACCCCCATCCCCCCACCCACCCCCACCCCGGGGAGGTGATTTCTCGCTTTCTGTCTCTCTGTCTGGTGAGCGCACGAGCCTTATAGAAAAAACAACAACAACAAAAAACCTCTCCAATGGTCTCAGAAGGTAAGGAAGAAGAAATATTCCTACAACAGCCATGTTTCAAGTAAGCTTGAGTCTAGAACTGTTTTACACTCAATCTAGTTGTTTCTGGTGTTTTTGGATATATGCTTTTAATTTTTTTTAAGGGAGATTTTTGCTATAAGGCGTGTAGACTCACCAGACTGAGAGACAGAGAGACAGAAAGTGAGAAATCACCCTGGGGGGATAGCCACCCTGTAATCCCTTCTGTTCCATTCTCCTCTCTGGATGTTGGGCATGCAGGCACAGGCATCGGTGTGAATTTTAAGCCACTGAGTCCAAGACTTGAACTGCGGTTGACTATGTGGGAGTCCATTATGCCATCTGCTGGTCTCTGACATATGCTTTTAATATAAGAAATGAGGCAAAGAAAAACACAGCCATCAGCCAAAATCCCACTCACTCTTAGGAGTTACTTAAAATTGAATAAAAATGTATATCCCTCACATCCATTCTCCCTGAAATCCAGGCATTTTGAATTCAGTTTCATAAGCCCAAGGGACAATTTCCTTCAAAGAAGGAGCATAGTATTTAATGACAACAATGAGTTCTGGAAGCTATATTAAAGTCTTAACTTTAGGACCTACAGTTGGCGTAATGGCTATGGTGCTGGACTCCCACGTAGGCAACTGCAGTTTGAGCCCGGGACCCGGTGCCTTAAACTCATGCCAGGCACATGTATGTGCATGCCCAAGATCTTAAAAGGAAAATGGAGAAGGGATTATAGCATGGCCATCCCCCCCTGGGGGGTGATTTCTCACTATCTGTCTCTCTGTCTCTGTCTTTCTGGCAACCGCACCCGCCCTATAGCCAAAACCTCTTAAAAAAAAAAAAAAGAAAAAGAAAAAGAAAAAGTCTTAGCTTTGTTTAGAAGAGCTGGTGAGAAGAGTAAAGGAAAAAAGGTTTGCTTTGGTTTTAATTTTGCTGGAGGGCATGTGCACTCACCAGAGAAAGACACAGAGAGGAGTAAAGTGAGAAAGTAACCCGCAGGTGGTACTCCACAATTACTTCTCTTCCATTCTCCTCTAAGGATTTGGGACGTGCACACACATGCACCCAGTGTACTTTTCAAGCACCAAATATGGGACTCAAACCATGCAGTCTGCCATATGCGATCCAGCCATCTTAACAACCATGCAACCGGTAGCCCAAGAAACAAATGTTTCGTAATTATACCTAACCCAAAACTTCCTCACACACAAATGCAATATACCACCTTCTTTCTCGTTGCCCTGGCAAACTAACAAAGATCTCTAGCATGAGGTATTCATTGTAGACTCCAAGCTTTCCCAGGGCTTGGAAGCACAACAGTGACTAGAGCACAAGAGAGCACTCTGCACACAAAGTAACACTTGGGGATGCCAGCTGAGCACAGCCACAGCTGGGAAACACCCAGTCTGGGGTTTCACCCTGCTCCCTGCCACCCATCATAACTCAGTTTAAAACATTCCCAACATTTCTAAAAAGCAAGTGTGCACATTTGATACATGTTTAAAAATCATGAATTTTCTAAAATAAAAACTCAATAGTAAAAACAGCAACCAAAGAGACACTCTTTTGTATTGCCATAGGCCTGTAGCTAAAAGCAGGGCCTCTGGAACCTGCCTACCTGCGTTCAAATCCTGGCTCTGAGGCTGACTGGTCACTGGGCAGAGCAGAATGCTGCCACCCTCCCAGACTGTCTTCTTTATGCTGGGCTGCTCTCCAGGCCCTGGGACAGTGGCCATTCTACCACAGCTTTGTGGAGAACACCACACCCTAAAGGCACTACAACAGAGTCACTGTTGCTTTGGGAGCCTTCTGATAACAGGTTTAGTTTCTCAGAGACAGTGATAGGCTCAGTGGATTCCTGTGGCCATTATATATCAGTGGGGAGCATCTGCCAGATGACTCAGCTTCTACTCATTAAGCACAATGCATAAGATTTAAGACAGCTGGGACCAGCAGTTAGTGTAATGGCTATGTCGCTAGACTCCCATGTAGTTGACCATGGTTCGAGTACAAGACCCGGCGGCTTAAACACATGCCGGGTGCATGTGCATGGGTGCCCAAGATCCCGAGAGGAGAATGGAGGAAAAGGGATTGCGGCGTGGCCATCCCCCTGGGGGGTGATTTCTCACTTGTCTCTCTGTCTCTCTCTGTCTTTCTGGCGAGCACATACACCCCATAGCAAAAACAAACAAACTCTCCAAAAAGAAAAAAAAAATATTTAAGACAGCTGAAACTGACTAAAGAGCCTTTTATTCTCAAGTAGAGCTCACCTAGAAAAAGAAATCAAAGCCAGAACCTAAGCATTTTGCAAGTTCACCTTCTCAAAAACAGGAGTGTCGAAGTCTCTTCCATATCTCAAGTTTGAAAAATTCAAAATTGTTTCTGAATTTCACAAAATATCGATTTGTGAATTTGGAGGGAAGAGTCCCCCGGGCCACTTCTGTAATTCTTTCAATGTAGCTCTTGGTTTGGAGAAGAATTTTTTTGGCGGGGTTGCTTTTTGGTTTTTTAGTTTTTTTCTAATAACATTTAAACATACAGAAAAGCAAAGAGTATAAGGAGCCAGCTTATCCTATCATTTGACTTAATGTATAGTGATAGTTAATCTTATTTCATCCATCTACCCATCCTACTAATCTTAATACCCCCCTCCCTGTCGTTATTTTGGAGTGAATCTAGACATTTCATTTCACCCCAAAATACTTCTATACGTATCTCTGATATATAAGAAATCTCTTAATGCACCCGCCAGTTCATTTCAAAATACCTGAACTTCTCAAAGTCCTACTCCTCAAATTCCACTCTATTATAAGCATAGATCATCACACCAGTGATATGACTTGTTCCCTGCCTATATGCCTGCACTTTGTTTTAGAGGTTTTTGCCTTAGGGCATGTGCGCTTGCTGGAGAGAGAGAAACAGAAACAGTGAGAGGGAAAGTTGAGAAATCACCCCCCAAAAGGGATGGCCACGTATTCTCCTCCCCGGTATCTTGGGCATGCATGCACACAAGCCCCTTGCCTGCACTTTTAAGACAAAAAAACTCAAACCCTACAAAACATTTGTATATCAGGTAGACAGCGTCCCACAAAAGAAACACACTTTAGTTCTCCACCCAAGGAACTTACCATTGGAAGTCATGTCGAATCTCTAGTCTTGGGTATTCCTGAGTGATTAGGTAATGAACTCTAAAGCCGTTATTTAAATATAATCCTGATGAGCCCACCCTAGACCCACCTTAGGCACGCTCCACCCTTGACATAGCTCCACCCTAGACACGCCTCTTCATTACTACCTAATCCAATTTTTTAATTCCTAGCTTCCATTCATTGAGGACCCACTGAAACTAATTTTATTTCCACCCTTATCAAGTAGGTATTTATTTATTTATTTAAGAGAGATTTTTGCTATAGAGTGTGGGTGCTCACTGAAGTGACAGAGAGACAGAAAGCAAGAAATCACTCTCCAAGGGAGATGGCCACACTGCAATCTCTTCTCCTCCATTCTCCTCTCGGGATTTTGGGCACATGTACGCATGCGCCCAGAGTGAATTTCACACCTCAATGTCCGGGACTTGAATTGCAGTCAGCCATGCGGGAGTCCAGCGATGTAACTGCTATGGCATCTGCTGCTCCCAGAAAGTAGGTACTCTTTTATCCACACTTAGATGGAAGACAGTAGAGGAAGAGAGGTTTAGTCCGGAGTGACAGAGACAGTCTGCCCTTGAACTTCACGTTAGTCACCGTAACACTGTTAGGTTACAGATTGCATGCTCTACTGGAATAGAAGCCTTGTTAGGTTCACAGGTGATCCACATTACTTGGCATGTTATTAATTATGGAATATTGTTATTAGAAGTAGGAGAGACCAGACATCAACATTGAATAAGGATATTATAAGATCTAAGATAAAAAAATATAATAACACTAATGTTTTAGGGACATTATATCATCTACTAATTCATTTTACTCAGTCCTACGAGATAGCCAGGCATTCACTTCATAGGTGGGGGAACTGCAGGCCTTAACCTTCCTTCACAACTCTAGGTCTCTCCATGTTCCCAAATGTATGGTAGAAGGTAGCGCTCTGTGGAAGGCTTTGTACTCCATGGAAAGCGCAACACATACTTCACAGCTGTTTCTCATTTCACAGGTAACCACATGCCCCTCTTCCTTTAAACAAATTGCTACAAATGTATGAGAACCCACCTGTAGCTGGCCCAAGAGACAGGTTTCGCTATACTTTAGGAATTTATAAAGGAATATATATTATTATACACATAAGTTGTGAAGCACAGAGAGATCAGCTAATTTACCCTGTGGCCATAACCACAAGGTAATAAAGCAGGTGAAAATAAGTTTTAATTAGGCAATTTACTAGCTGAAGTGTGAGAATGAGCCTTGATAAATTCACAACTTCTGACTTTATTCCAGGACGGATCATGCCCGAACAATCAAAGTAAAGAAAAAGCATGAGGAGCAGACTTGAAAAGCAGAGGGAGTCATGGGAAGTGATGTTAATAAGCTATGGCTATACATGGGTCCTCTGCTGTCTGCTTGGAGACCTCAGCCTGCACTTTGGGGTAGTTGAGAGAATATTTGGGGACCTGGGAGATTAGAGACTCAGAGAACAGGGAAAACCAAAATTAGCATGGACCTAAACTGATTTTTCTGGCCTTTTTCTTTTTACTCTTTTTCTTCCAGGTAATTTAAGTTCAGGTCAGTTTTATTTTTTCACTACCTTGAATAAACACCAGGTGGCAACCTTTCCTGTCCCTTCTCCATCAGACCAAAGACACTTGCCAGATAACTTTACTTTCTTGCATTTCATTGTACCTCAGCTCCAGCCAGGATCTCCTCTATTTTTCTTTACTATTTTTTTTTAAATAGACCTGGGACCAGCAGTTAGCATAATGGCTATGTTGCTGAACTCCCATGTAGTCCACCGTAGCTTGAGTCCCGGAGCCGGTGGCTTAAACTCATTCCAGGTGTGTGTACCCAAGATCCCAAGAGGAGAATGAAGGAGAAGAGATTGCAGCATGGCCATCCCCCCTGGGGAGGTGATTTATTGCTTTCTGTCTCTCTGTCTCTCTCTGTCTCTCTGGCGAGCACAAATGCCCTATAGCAAAAACCTCTCCAAAAAAAAAAGAAAGACTTCATAGGGCCAGCCGGTAGTGTGGTGATTAAGGGAACTGGATCCCAATGGCCTGCAGTGTGGTTCTAGTCCAGGACCTGGCGGCTTGAAAGACACACCAGAAATTGTGAATAACACTGAAATAAACATGGGTGTACAAGTGTTTTTCTGACTGAGTTTTTTCCTTGGGGTAGATGCAAGATACGGAATCAACCCAAATGTCCAAGAACAGATGAATGGGTCAAAAAATTGTGACACATATACAGTATGGAAGACTACTCAGCCATATAAATAAATAAATAAATAAAAATAAAATTAGATTCTGACATTTAATTCGAAGTGGAAGAATATGGAAGATTTAATGTTAAGCAAAGAAGCCAAACTGTGAAAGACAGGCATTGTGTGTCTCCTCATGATATATACCAAATATCTGCACTCTGTGAGAGAAACTGAAAGATTGGAAGGTACAATAGCGGGAAGGGCACCTGTAAATACTAGAGACAGCATAGGAAGGAGTGGGTAATAGAGGATGGGAGAAAGGGAACCAGGGGGAAAAAAAGAGAAACCTTCAATAGTCACAAAAATGAGATGGCTGCGACCCGCGGCGGGACCTGCGCGGGCCCTCCCGGGCTCAGCACGTCTCCCCCCAGGCCCTGCGCCAAGGCGGCCGTGGGAGGCGGGCCCTGTGCGCCCCCCCCCTCCGCCCCTGCGCCATGGCTGCGACCCGCGGCAGGACCTACGCTGAGCCCGGGACGCTGAGCCCGGGAGGGCTCAGCGCATCTCCCCCGGGCCCGCGCCAAGGTGGCGGCAGGTGCCGCTGCCGCCGGCCCCCCCTCTCTCCCGCGC